GGGGATGGTATGGTAGTGTTTAGGATGGATGGATGGTGCGGCAAGGGGTGGTTTTGGTAAGGAATTATGGAAGAATGGTGATGAAAGCTGCGGCAGAGAATGGCTTTATGTTTCTGGCGTGAATGATGTGTATGAGAGGTGGTAGTGTGCGGCATAGGCTGAAAATACATATTTATAGGCACCTAAACCCTAGGGCAATCAGATTAGGGCTTCTAGAACCCAAATCCAGTAGGAAAAAGGCTTAGAAATCAGAATTAAAAGGGGAAAAGGCCTACAAGGTGCGGCTGGATGATAAAGCTTCTAGAAAGCCTTGCAAGGCAAGGAAAAAGGGTTCTAGAATGTCTTGTCATGCAAGGAAAAGGGTTCCCTTGCTGTAATAAGTGCGGCATTCCTCTAGAATAAGAATAAGGCTAAGGTGTCCTAAAGTGTTTAGGACTCCTCTTTGTAGCTGAAACCCTTGCACATTAGGAATAGGAAAGCTTGTCTTGATCAATCCTTCTTCTTTTTGGACTCCTTTTCCTTCTTTGACTTGGAATACTTCTTTGTTGCTGAAACTCAAGGCCAATTAGGTTTAACTTTCCTACTCCAAGTAGGAAACCTTGTTTGAGTAGGAATCCTCATTCTTCTAGGAATCCATCTTTGACTAGGATTCCTCCGTTGATTAGGAATCATTCTTCAATTAGGACTCCTTCGTTGATTAGGAATCCTTCTTCAATTAGGACTCCTTCATTCTCGTCCATTCCTTTCGTTCCAAGCATGTGATCCATTCCAGGCTTAATCTTGCTCCAAAAGGCTCCAAAATGCATCATTTTGCATACTTTGCCCTTATAACCTGAAAACACATGAAACTAACTTAAAAGACTAATTTAACTAAGAAAACACAACGTAAATACACAAGAACAAGCTCACTAAGTCGCATAAATATGCTCATATCAGCTACTCAAAACTATTCGTTGTTGATTCACAAAATTTCATGTTTATGATTAGAACCATTTATAGTATAATCTAGTTGGAGTTAGATGGAATGGGAGTGGAAACTAGATAGGGAATGCAATCAAAGCGAGGAATGAAATCAGTTCTAATTGTAATTAAATTGAAATTAAGTGTGGCCACTAGCACTATTGTTTAGTGGTATTCATGTGCTTGTAAGTGAGAAGTCTTAAGTAATAATTGACGTGTTCATTACCTAATTATGATTGACCCAATTAGGATTTAATTAATATTTTGAAAGATTTCAAAAGAGTTCAAAAATCTCAAAGTTATAAGAAAAAATAAAGCTCAAGAGTATTTAAAGAGGATTTTAAACAAATCTTAAAAAGTATGAGGTATTCAATTAAAATTTATAAAAAGCTTACCAAAATCCAAAGAAATCCAGTTGTATTATTGAACAAGACTATAAAAATCCAGTTTATTCAATTAAGATAAATGAATTTCATAATGTATTTTGGGCTTTAACAAATTTAGTCTTTCTCCTTGAGACTTCGAACAATTTCACATAGGGCCTATATGGAAGCTCATTAAAACATCATCAAACTACATGAATTTATAAGAGGGGAGTCCCATAGTGAAAATCAAACATCTTTGTGATCCTCCTCACCCAAATTCGAGACTTACCTACTCTTTGTCTCCCATAGAACCCCACCTAACTATTGAAAAAAAAAATGTTACATATCATGTCGAAGTTTTTCTACAGTGTGAGGGACTATTGTGCGAAAAAGGTAGGAACGTATTAAACTATGGAGATATAGGAGAGATATCTCTACAACACTCCCTGGGGAATAAATCACTGTTCTAAAAATCCCCGTCCAGCGCCGCCTAGGCGCTAGCTGCGCTAGGCGGCTGGCCACCTCCTTGATTAATGCTTAAGTGTTTGAAAATTAAGAAAGGGCGCCTACACCTGATGAGGCACCCGCCTAGCCCACCTAGACTCGCTTAGGCACCCATTTAGGTTGCAACTCACTTAAACAGAAAATAATAACTTTCATTTTGTATTTTATTTTATTTAATAAATTGTAAGAGACTTGCTGAATAGTTAAATGAACACATATTATATGATTGTTCCCCATATTTTCAGTATATTTCAATACTTCATAATATATATAGAGTGGAACTAAGTCTATATTCCCACCCACTATAAAAAGGTAAATAATAGCATCACTCTTTTCCCACCCACCATGATTCCAATTATAACATTTTAAATATCTTTAAGTTCTTTAAATTTTATTTTCTGTAATATGTATATATAAATATGTATGTAAATATTTATCTCAAAAAAAAAAAAATCCAACCATGGGATGAGATAGCAAGCTCCTTGGCTTGGGGCAACAATGATTGAAGAAGGAATACATTAGGGAAATGATAAACACACACCCTTTATAGCTTTCTACACACCCTTGGTTAATCATGTCCGTTGTTTTCATTTGATTTATTCAATCCAATGGCCTGGACCAAAGAGGGGTGTGGGAAAAGCTATAAAAGGTGTGTGAAAATCAGCTCCCATACATTAATGCTATTTCCCCTGTTTGTTATTGGATAGAAAAAGCCCATCTTACACATAGGAAGAGGCTCATGCTACTAATATGATATGAAACCAATTTTCAGAGAAGACGAAAGGGCAAGTTCAGTAGAAATCAAACCTGATCTCATAGGAAGCATGACTAATCTCCGTTGTCGTTTGTCACATCCCGGCCCGGGGTCCACCACATCCCAGGCCCGCTTCACCACCGTAGCACAATATTGTCCGCTTTGGGCCCCGACTACGCCCTCACGGTTTTGTTTCTGGGAACTCACACGAGAACTTTCCAGTGGGTCACCCATCCTGGGAGTGCTCTGGCCTCCTTCTCACTTAACTTCGAAGTTCCTACAAAACCCGAAGCCAGTGAGCTCCCAAAAGGCCTCGTGTTAGGTAGGGATGAGAATATACATTTAAGGATCATTCCCCTGGGCGATGTGGGATGTTACATCATTGACACAGTTAGTTTGGCTACTGTACAAGAGATCAGGCAGGAAAAGGGTTTTGCAGGTACGGGTGCAAAATGATTAGAATAATCTTTTTCTCACACATGGTCGTTGTCAATGGCTTCGACCGAATAGACTCAGATAACAGCACGACGAGTTCTACATACACAATAGATGGAATTTGAAGAGGGAGGAGCTGTCATCGACGTCGCCGTGTGGGTGTGGACTGGTTGGGTTTGTATAGGGTGGATTTTTAAATTATTTTTTTCTTTTTTCTTGTTTGCTATTTCAGCTGATGCTGATGTGGTAAAATGTTAATGGTTATTGTTTAAGTCCTTAAATGTCATTTTATAAGAGGAGATATTTGTCATTGGAATTTACATTTAAAGTAGGTGGAGTGATAAGACAATGGGGTGGCTTAACACCACACACCCTCTCTCTCTCTCTCTCTCTCTCTCTCTCTCTCTATATATATATATATATATATATTATTCTATTTTGTAGTTTATGATGAAAAATATATATTTTAAGTATAAAAAAATATTTATTTACACGAAATATAATAGATTTACTTAAATTTGTCTAGTTCCCCTAGGCGCCCGCCTAGACCCCGCATAACCACCTAGGTGCTAGGCCCCAGCTTACCGCCCGACTAGCGCCTAGCGTCTTTTAAAAAATTGGAATAAATAATTAGTTGTCTCATAAAAAGTTTATGAAAAAAATCTAGGCTAAAAAAAGAGTATAACTCTTGTTTAGATTATTAATATCATGTTGAACGTGTTTAATGTTACTTCGTTAAAATTTTGTTAGAAAATAATTTAATATAATAAAACTTTAGTCAAAGAGAAAAAAGAGTATATTGCACATATGTCTAATGTAGTATATTTTTTGTTGTTCTCTCTTAATGAGTCCATTTGATAATAGCGTGCTGCAACACTATTTTTAGTGAAGTTGACAGATTCCATGGTATTCACACAAAATTTTAAAGAATAGTCTTTAAAACATTATTGGCGCCCTTTCAATTCCTCATGCATGTATTTTTAATTAGCGAAACAATCACAATAAGATGTTGAACAAAGCTCACAAATATCTATTTAATTACTTAAAAGAAATATGAATAAAAATATACAATGTCTATCCCCAAACATTGCGATAGAGAGATGCAGATGTTTTATTTTCCCAGAAGGAAAAAAAAAAAGAAATTTAAATTGCAGACATTTTTTTTTTTGGAAACTATTTAAATTGCAGACATTAATATTTACTTTTATTGTCCGAAAGGCTCTGTAATCGAAAATCCTCTTGCGCAACACGTATATCGTTAACATCGATGAGGACGAGGGGAAATAAATGTAAAAAAAAAAAAAGAATTAATATTTCAACTATAAATATGCAAGAGGTACTTAAGCTCTTCATTCAAAAAAGGAAGCCCCGCTTCTATCCTTCATCCTCTCTCTCTCCCCTCTCCGCCTCCACTCTCTCTTGCTCTCCTGCACTGTTTTCACTCGTCTCTCAGCTTCCTTGAACGGACGGCTCATCGCGTGACAGAAACTACGATCTTTGCGCCTGCATCGTCAGATGTACGTACCGACTCTTCCTTTACATTTTTTGCTTTGGTATTTTTTTTCACATAGTTTCGGCTACGTTTTTCGTTTCTGATCGCCTAGGTTTCCTGCCAGCTGGATTTAATTGTGAAATGTCACCTGCTTACAGTTTTTGATTTGCTAGGGATATGATTCAGCAGGATAGGGTTACGGTTTTGTAGATCAGAGCTCTAATTCTGTTTATCTTTCCAGCAGCAAGAGGACGAGGAGATGCATGTGCCGCTTTCGAATTTGGCTGGAAGCTCTCGGGGCATGGAAGGTTTCGTATTTTTTTGTGGTTTTCGATGATCCGTTGTTTGAATTTCATAAGTTTGCGTTTACAGTGTGGTTTTGAAGCTTTGCATGTTGCATAATTGAGCTTAAAGAATTAATTTTTGTGTGTGTTATGTTGTGTACATGATTAGTGTGCAAGTCATTTAATTTTCTTCCGGGTTTTGATAATCTTGTTTTGAAATTTATGGTATTTGATGTGGTGGGAGTAGCTCAAGTGGAGCAGACTAATGCATTTGAGGATCCTCAAAAGATGAAATTCACTTGGACAATTGAGAACTTTACTAGGTTGGACAACAAGAACCACTACTCTGACATCTTCGTTGTTGGCGGCTTTAAATGGTATTTTCCTTGTCAACCACATGTCAAAGTCGATTTTGCACGTACGCCCTTAGTTGGTTTATAATTGTATCTCGCTAATTGGGTTTTATATTGCTTTGCTTTGTTTGATCAGGCGGATAATAATGTTTCCCAAGGGAAACCAAGTGGACGCGTTATCAATGTATTTGGATGCAGCAGATTCTGGGACATTGCCATATGGGTGGAGAAGATTTGCGCACTTTAGCTTGGCTGTAGTTAATCAGATCGATACCAAGTACTCAGTAGAAAAGGGTATATTTCTTTAATTATTAGTCTTATTTCTTTTTCGAATTCAAGTTGTGCTTTTGCTTGGTTGTCGTTTTCCGTTTTCTTTTCCTAATTTCAATACTAGCTTCTCTTGGTTGTCGTCCTATTGTCATTTAAACCTAAGGGTTTCATTTAGAACTTATTATTCTCGGGGTGAACGTACTAGCTTTCAACTTCGTAGTTCTTGGGCGATGCCATTTGAACGCAATCAATCTATAAGTAATCACCCTAATCTCTTTTATTATCAGATTTTAATTCCAATTTTACTCCCAGAAAAATAAAAACAATAAAGTAAAACTTCTTCCATCCCTTCCTCTCTAACATCTTGGCCAACAGCAGCAACGCGCACCATGGCATACCCATCTGCCCATCGTGACATTTTTTTGGAATTTATTTTAAATTTGACAAAAAAGATTGAGAAAAATTGTGGAGTAAAACGTACTAACAGATGATAGAAATTAATTCAAATACAATAGATTTGTTCTTCTATAGTCATCTAGATGTTAAATAAATTAACGGTAAAACGTGCAATAAAAAATAATGGGCAGATTGAATTCTGGGTAATGAAAAGGCTGAATATACTAAATCAAGGGTTTCAATTTATTAAGTGATGAGCTTGAAGTGGGACTTGCGACGTTTTTAAAATTAGAGTTGTGAAGTACAAATATTCTAGGCCAGAACCAAATGTAGTGGGGCTGGCAATGGATTCTATTTTGTTGGTGTGGCTCATGCTGTAGAACAATACAACAACAACAACAAAGCCTTTTCCCACTAAGTGGGGTCGGCTATATGAACGCCATTGCACTCGGTTCTGTGTCATATCCTCTGTTAGATCCAAGTACTCAAGTCTTTTCTTAGAGTCTCTTCCCAAGTTTCATGCTGCAGAACAATAATTTGAATTAATGCGTTTAACAAAAAACTAACAATCTTTAATCATTTTGATTGTTGTATGATGTTGCAGACACACAACACCAGTTCAATGCAAGAGAAAGTGACTGGGGATTCACTTCATTCATGCCTCTTGGTGATCTTTATGACCCAAGTAGGGGATATCTGGTGAGCGATACAGTTGTGGTTGAAGCGAAAGTTACTGTCCGTAAGGTTCTTAACTACCAGTCATATGACTCAAAAAAGGAAACTGGTTATGTTGGGCTTGAGAATCAGCGGCAAAGTGGTTATATGAATTCTCTACTCCAGACGTTTTACCATATACCATACTTTAGAAAGGTAGTTTACATGATATCCTGTTGTCATTGTAAGCCAAACATGAATTGTCTTGTGAATTTTTTATGAAAAATCTTAATTTTGGAGTTACTTACCAGGCTGTTCATCATATGCCAACAACTGAGAATGACATGCCTTCAGGAAGCATCCCTTTGACACTAAAACGTTTATTCTATAAGCTTCAATACAGTGACAGCATTGTTTCAACTAAAGAATTGACCAAGTCTTTTGGGTGGGATACACATTATTTGTTTATGAAACATGACGTCCATGAATTTAATAAATTTCTTAGTCAAAAGCTTGAAGATAAAATGAAGGTATGGGAATGTTTCATTTTGACCATGAGTTTAATTTTCATTTCACCTACAATTTTTATAATTGTTATGTTGGTTCAGGGAACTGTTGTGGAGGGTACAATACTGCAGTTATTTGAAGGACATTACATGAACTACACTGACTGCATCAATGTGCACTACAAATCTGAAAGAAAAGAGTCATTTTATGGTAACGTTTCTTGTCACAATCTTCATTTATTATGAGTTGGAAGTATTTCATGAATGTCAGTGCATGCTACTGGTTTCTTCTTATTGCTTTGCAGACCTCCAGCTTGATGTCAAAGGCTGTCGGGATGTCTATGATTCTTTCGATAAGTATGTGACAGTTGAACATCTTGAGGGTGACAATAAATACCGTGCGGGACAATATGGTTTGCAGGTTATATTACTGAATTTCTATTGTTGACTGCATTTATACAGTAACTCTAATCTGAGTTTGCTCTTAGTTGCTTCCTTCCACAAACCACTTTATGGAAATAGTGGTTTTACATTATTTCCTAAGCCAGTGAGATTTTTAATGTATGGTTCTTAAAACATTTGTGGGGTCGTGCATGTTATGTTTTACTTTCTGATTGAATGATGTCCACAGTTTTTCCTTCCATTAAACCACTTGCTGAAGCCACTATTCTTACACATTTTCCTCGATAGTGAATTTTATAAATATTATTCTCAAGGATTATGTTGTCTGCTTATTCCAGGTTGCTAAGAAGGGTGTTCTGTTTATTGACTTCCCTCCTGTTCTTCAACTTCAGCTAAAGCGATTTGAGTATGATTTTGTGCGGGACACTGTGGTTAAGGTCTGTAACGGAACTAATCTACATGCTTCAGCTTCATCTATGCTTACATGAAGCATTGAATCTGTGATTCTTTGTTGAAGATGTAGCATGCATCTTAGTCGCTAATGTATGCAAAGATATGTTTCTTCAAATTATTTATTGATCCAAGTGAAGGACTTGAGCTCACCTTATGGTTTCATCCAACTCTTAGTTTAATTTTTGTTTCACTATTGCATTCTGAGAGATGGATATAACCCTATTTGAATGGTGTTTTTTTTTTTTTTTTTCAAAATGTCTGCAGCGTGAACCATTTTTTCTTCATACTAGTTAAATTGAACTGCCTCTATCTAGTGCATTATCTTTATTTGAAATTATATAAACTAATTAAATTCGTTTTTATTTCTTGGGCTGCAATTGTTTGTTCGGTGTGAAAATGATATTTCATAGATGGAAAGCAAATAAACTATCATGGTAAGAATATTGTATTATTTGTTTTTGCCAGGTAAATGATCGCTATGAATTTCCTATTCAACTTGACCTTGATAGGGAGAATGGAATGTACCTATCACCTGAATCAGATAGGAGTGTCCGCAACCTCTACACTCTTCATAGGTAACCATAATAATAGTAGTTGATTGGGTTGGATGATTAAAAAAGCGCGCTAACTTTAACGATAGTGTTAAAAAATTCCTAACAACATGCTACTTACTATGATACTTAATTACTGTTGCAGTGTCTTGGTTCATATTGGTGGGGCGCATGATGGACGTTACTGTGCTTTCATAAGGCCAACCCTCTCTGACCAGTGGTATATGGATCTCCTGGAATCAAAGCTCGGTCCTCTTTTACTTTGCTTCTTACTTTTTTGTTTATCGTTGTGGTTCAAATGAGTCGGTTTTGTTGTGAATCTTGTGATTTATATTTCTCACATTGCTTTTCGCATAGAACACAATTCGGTTTACCTGACTGCCTAATTGACAACTGTAAAGAAAGCACATGTTTAATTAGTTATATGCCTTTTTTATTTATTACTTGGTGTTGAGTATTTATTTATTTGGATTTTTATGCATGACTATCAGTGTTATTGTGCATGCATTTCATCTATGTCGATAACTTGTCCGTTGATGCAATTTGTCCTCTCGTGTTTTAGGTACAAGTTTGACAATGAACGTGTGACGAAAGAGGATGTGAAAAGGGCTTTAGAAGAGCAGTATGGTGGTGAGAAAGAGGTAGTTTATTGTTGTGGCTGTTTCCCAACTGCTCCAGTCATCCTTAATTTTAAAGTTGCTTAATTCTAAACTGACTTATTGTTGTCTTCTAATCCCAACAGTTACCACGGACCAATTCTCACTTTAATCGTACTTCCTTCAGCCTTACAAAATACTCAAATGCATACATGCTTGTGTATATACGGGAAAGTGATAAGGAGAAAATAATGTGTAACGTGGATGAGAAAGACATAGCCGAACATCTAAGGGTAATGGTACATCAAGCATAGTTCCTGCATTTAATTGTCCAACTAAGAGGCTGAACCAACTTTCGTTGATTCATTTCAGATAAGGTCGAAGAAAGGACAAGAAAAGAAAGAGGTTGAAAGATGTAATGCACAAGCACACCTCTACACTACTATTAAGGTAAAGATTTCCAGTAACCGGTTTTCACCCTTGCTTGTTCGGATGAGCTAGTACAGGCATTTGGCATACACTAAAATATTATTGCGAAATTTATGGATATGTTTAGGTTTCTCGAGATAACGACCTGGCAGAACAAATTGGAAGGGATGTATATTTTGGCCTTGTCGACCATAACAAAGTTCATAGGTTCCGTATTCTGAATCTAACACCCTTTAATCTTTTCAAGGTACACCAGTACAGGCTGAAGTTCATTTATGTCTTATCTTTTCTTCATTTTTGGCTTATGGAAGATTGGCGACCTTGAGTGCAAAGTATTCTGAATTCAATTTTATTAATTATGAGAATTCCTAATTCGGAAATGGTTAACAGAAGGAGGTTGCAAATGAGTTTGGCATACCAGTGCAGTTTCAGCGTTTCTGGATTTGGTCCATGAGAAAAAACCATACATATCGCCCCAAACGACCATTGACAAGTTGTGAAGAATCAAAAGCAGTATGACTTCACACTTCCTACCTTTGAAAGGATTTTCAAGCATAAACTTGGAGACAGTGCTCCTTGCATATGTGCTGTATCTCTGGGTTTATAGCTGGTTCTTTGCGTAATCCATATTTCTGATTGTGTCCAAATTTACTTTGTTGCATCTGACACCGAAGTTTTAAGTTCATGATTTTATGATGGGTGATTATAAATGTCAATTTCTTTTGCGAAATTGGAATTTGAAAACTGCTTAATGCATAGATTTGTTGGAGTTTGGATAATCATTAGCTTCTTAGTACTTGTTGAGGCATTTTAAATGAAGTTATTAACTTATAATAGTATATAAAAAAGTCTGTTGGTCAGTGATAAACATTTTATCTCAGATTTTGAAATGATTGATAGTGTTTTTAGTTGCACATCAATGCCCAGAAGAGGTTGTTTGGTGCCTTGTGCAACTAATGAAGACCACTTGCATTTTCCAGGTTGGACGATTGAGAGATGGATCAAATACAATACACAATGGAGAGCTAAAGTTGTTTTTGGAAGTAGAGTTCGGGCCGGTAATCCAGTGTTACTCTATTCTTGTTATGACCTATGGTGTGAGGGTTATTGCAGTTCCAATTGTTGGTTGAAAGATATCTTTTCTTACATTTATTTCTCTCATTAATGCTCCAGGATCTATGTCTTATTCCTCCGCCTGCCAAAACCAAGAAAGATATCCTTGTTTTCTTTAAGCTTTATGAACCTGAGAAACGAGAACTACGGTACGCCAGCTCTTTCTGCTTAGCTGAACATTTTTTGCATTTGACTTATGTTTGCTTATTTAAGTTTCTTTTCTGTTTCCAGTTTTGTTGGTCGGCTTTTTGTGAAGAGTTGTAGTAGGCCAGTAGAGATTTTAGCAAAATTGAATCAGCTTGCTGGTTTTTCCCCTGATGAAGAAATTGAACTCTATCCGGTGTGTTTCACATTATTTGTCGCATCATTTGTGTTAATAATTTGATGCATGCTTTGCTATAGCATCTTAAGCAAATTCTATAATATGTTTTTGCGCTACATTTAGGAAATAAGTTCTGAGCCTTGTATCATGTGGGAGCAGCTTGACAAGAAGATCCCATTTCGATTCAGTCAGGTAGCTATCACTATATTGCGAGCTTGGTATATTCTTAATTTGTGTCTGCTCTGGAAATTAATGTTTTGATGCTTTTATAGGTATATTTCTGGTTAACCGTCTATTGCTTTCCTTTTCCAGATTCAAGATGGGGATATAATATGCTTTCAGAAATCTACTCCTCATGGAAGTGAAGTATGTAAATATCCTAACGTTCCTTCATTTTTCAAATACCTACACTATCGTCAGGTACTGGCTGTGGAAATTTTTACTTTATTTGTAGTTTAAATTAGATGTTGTTATACAATAAGTAGACTTAAACAGTGGATTGCTTTTGCACCTCCTTTTACTTTGTTTTTAGTGTTTTTTTATAGCTGTATTTTGTTGAATTTTATACCTACCATGTTGAATGATTGGAGGCTTTACAGATTGTTCGTTTCCGTTCGCTGGAGAAACCGAATGAGGATGATTTCAGTTTAGAATTGTAAGTACTTCCTGAACCCTTGTTCCTCATGGTTTAATTTTAGGGTCAATAATTGTTCTTTACAGTTGGACTTGGACTGTCCATCATTGTTTTATTTCAGTGCTTTAACTTTTTTCTCTTGTTTTTTAGGTCAAAGCTTCACACTTATGATGATGTTGTGGAGAATTTGGCTCGCCTAATTGGTTTGGAAAATGCCACCAAAATCAGACTCACTGCACATAACTGCTTATCTCAACAACCTAGGCCCCGACCTATCAAATACCAGGGAGCAGAGCATTTAACAGAAATGTTAACTCATTACAATCATGTGAGTGGCATTGTATTGAGCTTCCTCCGTTGTTTTACTCTCACTCTCATAAGCACCATGTGGCGTGGCTACTAATTATGCTTTTCCTTCTATAGAGCTCTGATATTTTGTACTATGAAGTCTTGGGCATTCCCCTGCCAGAGTTGGAAGGCCTGAAAACTCTAAAAATTGCTTTTCATCATGCTACAAAAGACGAGGTCCGTGAAATATACCGCAACATCTGCTTATGGACGGTGATTACATCATTGTGCACATCCTAATCTTGTATAATTTATGTACAGGTGGTGATTCATACTATTAGCTTTCCCAAATGGAAAACTGTTGGGGATTTGATTAATGTACTTCAAACGAAGGTAGGGTTTCCCTTTTCTGTGCATTCCATATGCTTTAATTTACTAGCCATCACTTCTCATCTAAATATTTCTGGCAATCGTATACACTGTCCTATATGTGTGTTTTTTATTTTTCTCTTCTCTTTTTTTGGATTTCACTCAACTTGCAGTGATATTCATAACTTAGACAAAATTGGTAGATGCTCAATAAAAATTTATCACCACCACAATTGCCATGGAATTTTCTCACTGTACGGTGTACCTGAAACAGGTAGAGCTATCTCATCCAAATGTAGAACTCCGAGTGCTTGGCATTTTATATCACAAGATCTACAAGGTAATACTACTTGTATGTCTTCTTTATCTGAATTTGAGGTATTTTTTCTGGTCATAAGTGATTGTAGGTTGCTCCATTTGTTAAGCTGATAATGTATCGTATGTATTTGCATGTTCGTTATGGATCTTATTGCATCAGAAATTTTCTTCCTTCTATTTAATTTATATGATTTAATCACTCATGATTCATCGTGTTCTATTGCAGATCTTTCCACACTCAGAAAAAATTAGGAATATTCATAAACAGTACCGGACTTTGCGTGTAGAGGAGGCAAGTTCCTTTTGCCCCCTTTTCCTTATTTAGTTTTATTTTGAGATGTTTCTATTTTTATTTTTCAGTTCAAAATATGTAGATTACGGATATAGTTTTATGGGCAAGATTCGTAATTTAGTTTCTTTTCCCTTTCTAAAACAGCATCCCTACGACTGCATCGGACTGAATTGGATTGATATTTTGTACCAGTGTTATTTGTCAGCTGAATGTATTTTTTTTTTCTTCTTGTTATCAGATTCCAGAAGAAGAGAAAAAGTTGGGTCAACGTGATCGCTTGATTCATGTTTACCACTTCACAAAAGTCACTGTACTGAAAGACATGGTAGAAGCAAACTATTTCATTGCTGTTTTAGACTTTCAGTCAAAGAAGGTTTTACCCAGATACTTTGTGATTTTTAGAATCGATCTTATTGTTTGAACATTTTACAGCATGTACAAACTTTTGGGGAACCTTTTGTCTTGGTCATCCATGAAGGTGAAGGTCTAGCTGAAGTTAAAACACGGATACAAAAGAAATTGCGGGTTCCCGATGAGGAGTTCTCAAAGGTACTAGAGCCATACCTTATTTTCATTGGAAGGGGTCACTAGAGGAAAAGAGTGTTCTGTCGCTATTATTATTGGTTCTTTATTTTGCTTCCTCATCTATTTCCACTTTTGTTGTGCAGTGGAACTTTGCATTTTTGTCACGTGGTCATCCAGATTACTTGCAGGATTCCGACATTGTTTTCAGCCGATTTCAGGTGTGTATATGATTTATCGCTATTGATGTCTGATGTTCCCCTTCTTTCAAATTTTATGTGACGCAGAACAATAGGTTCATGCGTCTACTATTAGTACATAATAATGAAAATGTATCCACTATTAGTGCATACATTCACTCAATCGATGCATGTAGTCGATCAACTAGTATTTACATATTTCATTTTAGTAAACTGTCTCTTTACCCTCTGAACAAGAACACTAGCTGAAATTGGCCCCTTAAACTATTTTTTTGGTAAACTTTTGAAAATTAGTTGATAGAGATTTTTACCACCTGCAAAAGTAGGGATAAAAACACTTTAAATACTTGCAAGAGTACAAGGTAATTGTAGTAAATATAGCTCTAGCAAGGTTGCTCTTCACCGAGATTGAATGAATAATTTATATCAAACCAAATCTTAATTAATTACTTAAAACAAAGTTTGAGAAAATGTTGATTTTGTGATTTCAAATAATAAAAACGAATTTAATAGAAAATAATTAAATAAAGTGACAAAATAAAATAAACTAAAAGAAAACGGTTTTTAAAATTAAATTGTAAAAGTGGTTTAAAATTAAATTGTAAAAGCCTAGGGTTCTGCTGTTACCTTAACAATGTTATGTAGTTTTTCCAATTACTTATGAATTACACATGCATATTTTGAAGGTTAGGTTTTCCTAATATATGCCTACTTGGACTCTCAACATAGAGTGTATATCAAACATGCAACCCGTCTGTAGTATTCAGATCAAATTTAAACATGCATGACTAATTAAGCTTTGTGAAACCTTTTGAAAAATCATACAACCCTTAAGACGTGATATTCATCTTAAGTGAACTTGCACATATTAACCACAAGAAGCCTTTGTCAATTTCAGGGACCGACCTCCGAGCAAAATTGCATCAAATTACTTTTCTAAAGATCCTAATGGTAGTTAAGCAT